GAGCAGTTGGTGGATTTGAACTGCAAACTTTTAGGTTAGTCAAACAAAACAAACCAGCTCACAGCAATCCTACACACAGTAAAAATATCCCATATGGTTTCCAGGGCTAGAAGTCATAAAGAGGCAGACAGCTTTATCTGTCTCCCACCTGGGATGGTGGGTTCCAACCACTAACCTGTGGGTAGCAGCCCAGAGCTGAACCAACTCTGCTACTGGAGCTTCTTAATCTAAAATACCCAAAAGACTCAAACCCATTGCCAAATTGATTCTGGTCCCTTGGTCACCCATAGAATGGTGTAGAACTGCCCTCTGAGACTTCTAAGCTTTCCTGTAATCTTTAACTTTTTCTTGTGAATTGGGAGGATGAAGATTTATAAATCAGTTTTCCATTCAGCAATCTATATACATTTTGTTTCATGTCATTGATTGCAAACCCCACCACGTAGCATCACTTATCTACTTCTCGTGTCTCCCATTTCCATTTCTTACCATTCCGTGTCCTTTGAACTTTGTCCTCAGGCAAAGGCTGCCCTTTGATCTCCAAGGATTGACTATTATAAGGAGTCATACCTCTGTAGCCTTTGTAGTCTTTGGTTTCATCTCATTCTGTGAGGTTGAAAATTAAGCCTTGATTTAGTTCAGTTCCAGGCCTAACGGGCTACTAAGGGCCGTAGTTCTCAGGGGTCCACCAGCCTCTATCTGACCAGTAAACTTGGAAGATTTTTTCCCTCGTGTTTCTCCCACTCTGTCTTCCTCATTAGGACTTGTAGTGTAATTTCTTTCAGAGCAGTCAGCAGTGGTAGCTAGGCACTGTCTAGTTCTTCCAGTCAGGGTCATGAAGGCTGAAGTTTACATGGTTCATTAGCCCATCGGACTCATTGTTTCCATGCTTGCTACATATTTTTCACTCCTCTTTACAAGGGACCACTGGTTGCACCTTAGATCACTGCTCACAAGCTTTACAACTCTAGTCACTACTCACCAAGGTAGCTTGTTTTGTGGACTGTTTTATGCCCGCATGTGGCCCGCCGAGGACATTTATCCGGCCCGCTGGGTGTTTTGGCCCCGTTTGGTTTTTTTTGCTTCAAAATAAGGTATGTGCAGTGTGCATAGGAATTTGTTCATAGTTGTTTTGGTTTGTTTGTTTTTTAACTATAGTCTGGCCCTCCAACAGGTCTGAGGGACAGTGAACTGGCCCCGTTTAAAAAGTTTGAGGACCTCTAGTCTAGGGCCCCTAGCCCCAGCAACTCATTCCCTCAAAGTGTTTGAGTCTGGCTCAGAAGTTTCCGTCATGCTGCTCCCTGTATGTAGTACCATTTGTTGTTAACTGTTGTTAACATTTGTTGACTCTGTTCTAATTTAGTAACACTGGGTACATCACAGTGGCCCAGTACTGTGTGGCAAAGCATGAATTATTGAATGCAGCTCTTGTGGCCACATTGTCACTGTAACTTCTACCAAACAACCCTTTCCTGATGGAATTAGGTGAAAAGGTGGGAGAAGAGACTGATAGGATACAGTTGTGAGTGATTGTTAACAGGGCTAATTGTGATGTCCGTCCTGCTGGGTATAAAACGAGCTATCTCAGAAGCAGGAAGGGGGGAAATCTCACTACCAGCAAGGGCACAGCAGTGAAAAAACTGTCCAGCATGAACAACTGTATCCTGAGCATTTCTCACCTGAATTTTATAGCCCGTTAACTTCTCTAATAAGCCCCAGAATCGTGAATATCCGTGAGTTCTGTGTAGCCATTGCAATGAATTATAGAATCCAGTAGAAGTATAGTGTGGGGAAAGGATAGTGCCGTGAGGGGAATGGTTGGTGTCAAAGTAAGGTACAGAGGACGGAGGGTGGAGGCACGTCTGACCCTGCCTGGTGGCAGTCAGTCTTGGGAACGAGATGAGGTCCAATGTACTCCGGCATGCCATGTCTTTTTTCCCCCTGTGTGCGGACCTCACCATGGATATGTGCCTCATGCTTCACTGGAATCATGGGTATATTTCTGGCATTGGTAAATAAATGTGTAGAAATATTTTCCGCTAAACCTATGTATATCCATTCTCCTTCCCACATCTGTTTGATGTCTGTTATGCATCCACTGATATAGTTTTGTTATTGCAGATTTGTGCCTGAAATAGTATGTACGTCTGTTGCCTGTAACCCTTGTACCAGGACTGTAATTTTTACAGAAGCAGATGGCCACATCTTTCTCCTGCAGAGCAGCTGGTGAGTTTGAAACACTAACTTTTCAGTTATGTAGCCACTGCATCACTGGGACTCCTTCCTCCTATGCTGTTGCTTTAGGGGCTGTGGCATCAATTCCAGCCCATAGCAACCCTGAGCTCAATAGAAGGAAGTAACGTCTCCAGTCCTGAGTCCTGTGCCATTTTCACAACCCTGTTGTTTCAGCCACTGTGTCACTCCATCACATGGAAAGTCTTCTTCTTCTTCATCGTCTTTTTTATTTTTTTTGGCTGATCCTCTCCTTTCCCAAGCATGATGTCCTTCTTCAGGGACTGATCCCTCCTGATAACATGTCCAAAGTCGCCTCATCTTTGCTTCTAAGGAAACATTCTCTCTGTACTTCTTCCAAGATAGATTTGTTCAATGTCCCAGGCAGACCATGATATATTCAATATTCTTTGCCAACATCATAATTCAAAGGCCTCAATTCTTCAGTCTTCCTGGTTTACAGCCCATCTTTCTCAAGTATATAGGTGATTGGCATTACCATGGCCTTGGGCAGATGCACTTTAGTCCAAGTATAGAAGGTGATTGACATTACCATGGCCTTGGGCAGATGCACTGTAGTCCTCAAAGTGGCATACTTGCTCTTCAACACTTCTAAAAAGGTCCTTTTTTTGCAGTAGATTTGCCCAGTGC